TGCAGAATGAGATTGAAGATCTCATGGTGGATGTGGAGAGATCTAATGCTGCTGCTGCTGTTCTGGACAAGAAGCAAAGAAACTTTGACAAGGTATCAGTATTTTTTTATGACCACCCCAAAAAATGGAATGTCTAATGCTGTACATTGTTGGACAATCTCATAAATATCTAATGGATACACAGCCTTTTGATAGTACATGTAATTGTACTTGTTTTTTCAAACGCAGCTCAGTTTGGGGATTTAAACCAAAAATTGTACAACTTGTATCTCAATGTCTAGGTCCTGTCTGAGTGGAAGCAGAAGTATGAGGAGTCTCAGTGTGAACTGGAGAGCTCTCAGAAAGAAGCCAGGTCTCTGAGCACTGAGCTCTTCAAACTGAAGAACTCCTATGAGGAGTCTATTGATCATCTGGAGACCATGAAAAGAGAGAACAAGAATCTGCAGGGTAACGTATCAGTCAATGTGTCTTAGCAGGCAATCCATATAATTTGCAGATGTCAAAAAATACCAACAAAACACAACTTTTTCCATACACAGAGGAAATTTCAGACCTCACTGAGCAACTTGGTGAGGGAGGAAAAACTATTCATGAGTTGGAGAAGGTTCGTAAGCAGCTAGAGCAAGAAAAGAGTGAGATTCACTCTGCCCTCGAAGAAGCGGAGGTAAGACTTGAACCTCAAATCCACAGATAGTTTCTCACCGACATATGGTCTCTCACTGAGCACATTATAAGGAACACCATTCTAATACTGGATAACCACCAGGAAGTAACTATTAGAAGGTAAACTTCTGTGGCCATAAAGGGATGAATACGGTCAACAGCAATACCCAGATACACTGTGAAATTCAAAGCATGATTGATTAGTATTGAGGGCCAAAACGTTTCAAGAAAACAGTCCACCCAACACTACTTCATGACCAGCAGCCTGGATTGCTGACATAAGGCAGGTTGGGTCGAATGATTGCAGGAAAAATCAAGTGTTCCTGACAAAGTGCTCTGCAAGTGTACAGAACATGCACAGTTGCAAAAACAGGATTTCATTTGTGGGTCAGTTTTACAGCAGTTACTCCTGATGTCTGTCTTAGTGTTCTCTTGAGCATGAGGAGGGCAAGATTCTGAGAGCCCAGCTTGAGTTCAACCAGATCAAGGCGGACATGGAGCGTAAACTCACTGAGAAAGATGAGGAGATGGAACAGAGCAAGAGGAACCTACAGAGGGCCGTTGACACCCTGCAGAGTTCTCTGGAGGCAGAGACTCGCAGCAGGAATGAGGCCATGCGTCTGAAGAAGAAGATGGAGGGAGACCTCAATGAGATGGAGATCCAGCTAAGCCAGGCCAACAGGCAGGCATCTGAGGCCCAGAAGCAACTCAAATCTGTTCATGCACATTTGAAGGTAAAAAAGGAAACTGAGCTTTTAATTTTTGTTCCCGTCGTCATCCGGTAATTTTGTAACTGGATGCTTTGAAAACTTTACAGGATGCTCAGCTCCAGCTTGATGACTCTCTGAGACTCAATGAAGATATGAAGGAAAACATTGCGATTGTAGAGAGACGCAATAACCTGCTTCAGGCTGAAGTGGAAGAGCTGAGAGCTGCTCTGGAGCAAACTGAAAGAGGTCGCAAACTTGCTGAGCAAGAGCTGCTGGATGTTAGTGAGAGGGTGCAGCTCCTGCACTCACAGGTAAAATACACAGGTTGTACCTGGCACAGTTCTTTTTTATTACTGTCAACKTACTCAAGATTTCTATTATAACATTTTATATTCAACCAGAACACTAGTCTGCTCAACCAGAAGAAGAAGCTGGAGGCCGATAGTTCCCAGCTTCAAACTGAAGTGGAAGACGCAGTGCAGGAGTCCAGAAATGCAGAGGAGAAGGCTAAGAAGGCCATTACTGATGCAGCCATGATGGCAGAGGAGCTGAAGAAAGAGCAGGACACCAGRGCTCACCTGGAGCGTATGAAGAAGAACATGGAGCAAACCATCAAAGACCTGCAGCACCGTCTGGATGAAGCTGAACAGATCGCCTTGAAGGGAGGCAAGAAGCAGATGCAGAAGCTCGAGGCCAGGGTGAGACTTTTTGGTACATTTGTTAGCTTTGGTAGGCAATGATTATGAAGAAGTTACTGAGAATATTACTTGAAAATTCTCATCCCTGGACAGATGAAGGAGCTGGAAAATGAGGTGGAAATGGAGCAGAAAAAAAGCAGTGAAGCTGTGAAGGGTATCCGTAAATATGAACGCCGCATGAAGGAACTTACCTATCAGGTTTGTAGCATGTACACTAGGGTTCCTTCACTTTCCTTCATACATATGTTTGTGTGGTTGAAATATCTTTTTCAGGAAATAAATTTGTAACTTGTTTGCATAGACTGATGAGGACCGCAAGAATATTGCCAGACTCCAAGATCTAGTGGACAAGCTGCAGCTGAAAGTCAAAGCTTACAAGAGATCTGCAGAGGAGGCTGTAAGTGTGGAAATATGTGGTGCCTTTTCCCTAATACCACTCTACAATTAGTTCAACTAATGCAATTTGTTTAATTTGACTAAACAGGAGGAACAGGCAAATGTCCACCTTGGCAAGTTCCGCAAATTGCAGCACGACCTGGATGAGGTGGAAGAGCGAGCTGACATCGCTGAGTCCCAGGTCAACAAGCTACGTGCCAAGAGTCGTGACGTGGGCTCAAAGGTTTGAAGCATGCATTGTGTAGCAGGTGCACATTTTCCGACCCTGACACACGCTGCCCTCTATTGGCTACATGTATGCTACTCTGCTATTCAGTTATCAGCACAATAGATATATTGCTTTGTGGTACTAAAGCAGCACTAATCCAAAGACCTAACAGCTGTTTCTCTTCTTCTCCCTCTTCCAACTTAAATGGCTGCAACAGAAAGGCTTCGATGAGGAGTGAACCTTTGGAGCCTTCAGAGATACTTTGTCCTGCTGTGTATTGTAGATCCCCTCAACTACCACTATTCACCAACTGTAGTGCTTAATAAAATTTCTTCAAGCTGTTGCAAATCATTCTGTTCATCCTTCTTCTTTTTTTGAGAACGAATGCTTTCATGGGACATTATAAAGGAAATATTGTAATATATGATACTGATGTGCTGGCAACCTCCCGTTGCACCTAAAGGATAGGCAGATATGTTATTGTCAGTATCAACAAAG